TGGCTGACGGTGGTGGCCTATAGCGTTGAGTGGTGGCGAAATGACTGAATTTTCAATTCTGATACGCTTTTAATTTAATAGCTCATACATTTAATTATTTTTAGTTTTACATAGCCTTGTAACTAAAAAATTTTTTATTATGAATTAAAAAAATTATAATCAAAATTAAACTAAGGTTATAACTAGTGTTTCACATGTGCGAAGTGTATATGAAGCAATGTACGAGGCAATCTCATACTTGTTTCCCCCGTACATTGAATGTAGGTTTGACATTGAATATCATGATTACATAAATCCTTATAACACGAATGTCAGTATTTTATTGATGGCATTCATGTAGCAAACTTCGAAATAGCTCTTTGAGATTTCTACTCATTACATCTATTGATCTAGGTTTTGGTTTTCATACTCTTCATCAATTGAAAAGAAAAAATGAACCAGCGCACAAAAACAACTTTAGTTCAACATAATTAAAAGTTGAAAAATAGAGAGAAAAAAATTGAAAAATGACTAGTTCTGCACAAAACCCAAAAATTGTTGATAAGGTTGCAATAAGATATTATTATTATTATTATTATTATTATTATTATTATTATTATTATTATTATTATTATTATTTTGGCCATAAAATATACTATACATCTAGGAAAATAAACCATTCTAGCTCTCTCATATATTTTCCAAGGACAACAAACCAACAACCACATCCCCTAGCTATCTATTTCACCTTTTCAAATGTTAGACCAAATAATAAGCGTAAATAATATATTAAAAATTCATTTGAAAATTTTTTTAAACGAAAATAAACTAAAATATTTATGTTGAGATATACATCTTATTAAAGTTATAAATAACTTAAAAGTACTGAGTGAAGGTTAAATCTCTTGCCTCTCGCCTCTACTCAGCAATCTTTCCATTTTTAGCCTTCCTCAGTGGCGACCGATCTTTGTCGGCTTTCTCCCCTGGCCGTTGGACACCTATCCCAATGTCGCGCTTTCTCCTGCCGTCCAGTGGTTGCAGATCTACAATGGTCGGGTCGGCATTCTCTGCGGATCTCGGATATGGCTTTAGATCGGCGGTTGTTTCAGTGCTTCAACGGTGTTATGAGTGGTGTGGTGGATGGGGTCGGGCTCGGCTGTGGTGGCTCGTGGCCTCCTTGCCGGAGGAGCTGGGGCTGAGGAGAGACTGAGCCGCTACCACCTTCTCGATCCTCTGGTGCTAGGGACGGGGGAGGTTCCGGTGAATCCTAGTTCGGCTAGTAGTGTTAGACGAGTTCGGGTTGTACTGGTGTTTGTAGTCGGTTGGTTGTTCCACGGGGCTCGGGTTCGGCTTCTGTATAGGCGGTTCAACAGTTTTGGTAGCGGTTCTTTGGGCTTAGGATCTCACTTCGGAGTTGACTGTTTCTCTGCTGGTTTTGGTTTGGTTGATCTACTGTGGAAGGACCCCTTTTAATTTTAGTTTGTTTGTTTTGTTTTAGTATGGTGTTTTTTGTTGTTGCTCGGTTAGGAATCGTGCTTTTGGTTTGGGCCGTTGGTACATGTGAGCCCGAGTGTGGGAGGGTATTACTCTGTTGGGTCGTTTTAGTCTCCTATTTGGGAATTAGTTGTAGTTTTTTTTAGTTTCTTTGCATAGTGTCGTTGTGAGTTTATTTTCTAGCGTTGCTAGGCTAGTTCTATACGGTCTTTTTATCTGTCCTTCCAGTTTTCAACTATGGTTGTTCTATTCATCTATGGGCTGTTTAATTTGTACATTTGTACGTTTTGATTTATAATATTCTCTAACGTTTTGGGGAAAATAAAAAAGGCTAAGAGGTTATGGCACACACACATACACATATATAGCTTGATGTGTTTGAATTGTATATGGGCATTATGATAGTAAATCTTGTGTTGAATTTAGGGTCATCTTGTAGATGTGCCTTTCAGTTTCATTTTTGGTATTTGTAGGGGCTTTCCCTTGTACTTAGATTTTGTTCCCGGTTGAGTTTTATAATATGCTCGATCGTTTAAAAAAAATATATTCAAATTTATCTTAGAAACTATAATATATTGGGGTTATTTTGATTTACCAACTAAATTAATAATTTATGTTAGGTTAAATCTTTATGAAGTTCGTCAATTCAGTTTCGATAAATGGCAAATTCGATTAATTCAATTTATAAACTCAGACACCGAATTGACAAAAGCGTACCCCTAATGTTGAGAATCTTATATGTCTAAAATGTTTGGTATAATTTTATTTTCCTTAAACGAAAAATATTATAAATAAAAAGTGCTCAAGTAGAGTACAATAGGAACACCAATTACAGTGCATACCTTGCCCTCATCAGAATAAGGACAAGTGGAAAAGGGAACTAACCCTGCCAAACTACAAAAAGAAATCTATCTAACAAAACTACTAGAAAACACTAGGGAAAAACAGAGCAAAAAACAAGAAGCTACAGACCACTAAAACAAACAAACGGAAAACAGAGGATAAACAAGAAAACAAAATAAACTAATAACAGCACTGCAAAGCCAACAACGAAACTCCAACCACTGAGAGCAAAGCAGACCTAGCTGAGAGTCCCTCTGACCAAATCGTAAAACACAAAACGGCAACGCAAAACAAACACATGCACTGAAAACTGGCCAAAGTACTACTAGAGGTGCTTTAACCTGTTTACCTATGGGGACAACAAATGGGAAACCAGAAAAATTAAACAGGTAGTGGAGAAAGCTCAATAGCAGCTTCATACTCAAGCCACTCTGAGGAGGCGCCTTTGGCTACCTCCAATTCCAACCTCCAAGCATTTTTAAAGAGCCAGTTATTTTGCGTTCTCCAGAACCACCATGAAATGTACGTAGAGAGGTGAATTCTATCTATGGTGTTGTTGGACTTCTCAATTTGATAGAGATCAAACCACCAGGACTTGAAGGTGATTGCAATATTTTGCATAATGCTCCATTCCACTCCAGAAAGCTTCTAGACAAGGATTGCTCTGGGGCAAGTAAAAAGTAAATGCTCTAAGTCTTCATTTGCTTCCCCACAAAAACAACATATAGGATCCACTTGAAGAGACTTATTTAGCAGTTGGTCAGATGTACTCAGAAAATTGTTCCAGCATCTCCATAAGAAATTTTTTATCTTAAACCTTCAGAGCCGAGGTGACTTTCCACATATGCTAAAGCTTCTTGCCTCTGTCACTGGCTTCAGGCTGAGAGAGAACTTGCACATTTTTCTGTATAATTATCTTATAAACAGACTTGACAGTGAAATGACCTTTTTTATGGTGTTTCCATATCATCTTGTCAGGGGATCCTTTTCTTATTAGAGGGATGTTTATAATTATTTCAGCAACAGATGGTGCAAAAGATTGGTAGATTAAGTCAGAATCCCAACTCTCTCCACCTTCAATAAGTAAGTCACTCACCTTTGAAAATCTAACTATATCAGAATTAAAGAACTGGGAGGGTAGAAGATTAGATACCCTTGGGATCCAAGAACCAATCCAGTAATCAACTCACTGCTTAAAAAAAACTCTAGCTTTGAGCCAAGAGCTCCATAGACATGAGTCTGAGGGTTTCTACCTATCCTGCCAAATAGTGGAATTTTGAAAATACTTTCCCTTAAGAATTCTTAAGAATTCTCCAAAGCTGCATGGTAAGAAGAGCATCATTAAAGGAGGTGAGACATTTGAACCCAGTGCCACCATCTTCTTTTAATTTTGCAAGGTTTAACCAGGTGGACCAATGAATTCTTGTCTTTCAATTCTCTTTAGCTCCCCACCAGAAGGAAGAAGATAACCTGCATATATCTTTACAAATACCCAATGGGAGTTTAAATCATGACATCACAAAAGTGGGGAGAGCAGCAATTACAGATTTCAAAAGGGTCCCTTTGCCCGCTTCACTTAGAAAGGAATTCTTCCAATTACTAATCCTGGAAGAAACAACCTTTAAAACAAAAGAAAATTTCTCTCTTGGATGTCCATAACCCAAGAAGTAAGCCTAAATATCTTGAAGACTTAACCTCAGAAACACCATTAAGAGCAGAACATGTCTCAAGCTTAACAGAAACAAGGGTGTTCTTAGAGAAATAAATAGATGACTTAACCCAATTAACCATTTGGCCAGAATCCAAGCCATACAATCTGAGAATGTTGGCAACGAGAGAGGCATGGACATAGTCCGCTTTACAAAAAATAATAGAATCATCTGCAAAAAAGAGATGAGTAATAGTAGGGGAGTTTTTACTGATTTTAATACCCTGAAAAGAATTGAAAAAAGATGCATGCTTAAATAAATTAGAAAGGGCTTCACAAAGAATTATGAAAAGATAAGGAGAAAGGGGATCTCCCTGTCTTAATCCCCTAGTGGGCTGCAAAAACCTAGGGTTTTACCATTATTATTAAAGGAAAAGGAAGAGGAGCATATACAAGCAAGAAGCCAGGATATGAAGGTTTGACAAAATCCCATTTTAGCACAAATAGAAAGCCAAAAAAGACCATTATACTCGATCCAAAGCTGTTGTCGTATCTAGATTTAGGGCCAAAAAACAATTAGAACCAGATCTTTTACTATTAAGGAAGTGTACACATTCATCTGCAATAACAAAATTGTCCAAAATTTGCCTACCAGGAACAAAAGCGGCCTGATTTGGACTAATACAGGAATACAAAACAAATTTGAGCATGTTAGCTGGAATTTTAGAGATGAGCCTATAAGTGACTGTACATAGGCTAATAGGTCTGAAATCTGAAACTAGCAGAGAGATTTTATTTTTAGGCATTAAGGTAATGACAGTATGATTATTAGATTTAGGCATAAATTGGGATTTGAAAAAGTGTTGAACAACAGCAAAAAGCTTATCACTAATGATATTCCAGGATGCTTGAAAGAAAAGAGGGGACATGCCATCAATTCCCGAGCTTTGGAAGGGTGCATTTCCCAAAAAGCATTCTTGAGTACACCCATCTCTACAGGTCTGATAAGGGTGTTGTTCATCTCTTCATTAATAGTTGAGGGAATGCCTTTGAAGCTGCACCAGTTTAGGGATGGATTGGAGGTTTTATAAGTATCAGCAAAGTAGGATTGCACTTCCTCTACAACCTCTTTTGTGTTTGAACATCTTTCCTCGTTTCTCTTTAGGAGGCCCTCGATGCTGTTAATCTTTCTTCTTTGTTTGACACAAGCTTGAAAATAGCGAGTGTTCATGTCTCCGTCTTTTAGCCACAGATTTCTGGCTTTTTGTGACCAATAAAGCTCTTCATCCCTGTAAGCCTTGTGCAGTTTGCTTTTTAAGGATCCCCAAAGATGCCAGTCCCTATCATTACCCAGGAGAGCCATAGAATTAAGTTGCTCCTTATGGAGAGAGACAACTTTCCTGGAGTTGCTTTCATTCACCTTCTTCCACTTTAACAGAGCCAATCGAACATTTCTCAGCCTTCCCTGAATACTATATAAGTCATAACTGAAGCAACCGATGTTCCAAGCATGAGCAACTATCTGAGAGAAACCATCCTTCTTAACCAACCAAAAATCAAAGTATAACCTGATTTTGCCCTTATCCATCTCACAGTTAGTATCCAGGAAAATCATACAATCATCAGAGGACACTACGGGGATGCGTAAGGACTGAGATCTTGGATATTTGGAGGCCCAGACCAGAGAAACAAAAAATAGATCTAGTCTCTCCTCAACAAAGTTCGTCCCAGTCCTGTTATTTGACCAGGTGTAGGGGTATCCTTTGAAGGAAATTTCTTCCATTTCCATATTCTGAATGAAAGCTTGGAAAGAGGTGAAACTGCCCTCACTTCTTGAAATACCCCCTCTTTTCTTACAATTGGAAGTTAAATCATTGAAATCGCCCCCCAAAAACCAAGAATTACCCCCATTGAGCCTTGAAGAGAATACATAGATGGTTGTGGTAAGGAAGTCGGTCCAAATAGCCTTGCAGAGATGGTCAGGACGGTCACTCTATCGCATTTCCCTACATGTTAAGGACGTATGGAAAGCACCCAAAGGTGTAAGTCTCTACCTCATACCGTCCAATCCATCTTCTAAGATGGAAATCTGCTCGATTTGCTCTATAAAGTGGTCACTAAAGCCTGCTCTAAGACCCAAAATTCTTTCTAAGCTATCCACATCCCACGTTATATTGGACCACAAATCCTTCACCAGATTTGTCTAGTGGCTGAAAAGGTCCCTCCCCAAACCACCGCTCATCCTGAAAACTAACATCCCCATCACCAAGTGTACAGAAGATATGCTCCTGAGAACACCTATCAACTCTGGCAAGTCGCTTCCACTGTCAAATATCCCGATTGGTGGTCGTAACCCTGCACAGGTGATAGACACCTCTAGGATAGTACTTCCTGCGAAAGTAGTGATCTCAAAGTGACTTTTTCTCCCTGAGATGCCACCACATCTTATAATAGAAGGTGGTGCCAACATCCGAAAACTTGTGGATCCCAGCTCGTGGAGAGTGGACTGAGGGGTGTCCAAGACTATAAGAAGATGAATCATAAGGGCGTTGAGAGTACTTTTTATTAACTCGAGCCTACCCCTAAAAAAGAGATGTCTATAAGACCAACTACAGATCTAGTTGATCATCCTCTATCTAACATCTGCAAAGAGCTATCTCGTGAGATGGCCCTTTTATAGAGGAGCGCCGAGGTAGGTAATGGGTAGGTCACCACGAGCGAAGCCGGTACGCTCGTGAATCCAATGTGCCCACCGATTTACTATGTTAGGGGACATAATGAAGGTACTCTTCTGCACACTGACAACCTAACCGGAGATAGAGCAATAGTGCTCAAAGAGGTGCAAAAGCTGACCTAACCATTATCATCCGCACGAGTGGAGATAAATATGTCATCCGCACAAGAAATGTGAAAGATGAGAGGATCGTAGCCACAAGTGTTGTAGGTCATCTTCAGGTTATCCTGGATGAAGGCGTCAATGCAACGAGAGAGGTAATCCACCACCAGAACAAAAAGAGATGGGAGAGGGGGTCCCCTTGACGTAGGCCACAAGAGGAAGCCTAGGCCACAAGAGGAAGCAAAGAGATTGGTGGGGCTAACATTAATTAAAACCTAGAACATGCAATGCTCAACGCAGACCTCCACAAAATTGATCCATCAATCAGGGAAGCCCATTCGGACCAGAGTCTCCCTAAGAAAATTCCACTCGACCCTATCATACGACTTTTCCATGTCAAGCTTTAGCGCAAGGTTCGAGGCTCGCAACCGATCCGCATGGGAGATGTCATGAATCATTTCTTGTGCCAGAAGGATGCTGTCACTAATGACATGTTCCATTATGAACCCACTCTGGTTCGGCTAGTTGAGAGAGGGAATGAGGGGGGAAAGACTACCACTAAGAATCTTAGATATGAGCTTGTTGGTCACATTATAAAGGCTAATAGGTTTGTAATCTGACCAAGAACTCGGGCAGGGTTTTTTAGGGATCAAAATGACCGAAGTAGTTGTGGAAGACTCCAACATCTAATGTCCTGAGAAGAACTCCAAAACATCTTCCTCAGCATCAGACTCAACAAGCTCCCAGCAGGCATGGTAAAAGAGAGACGAGAAGCCGTCTGAGCCAAAAACTCTGATGGGATCAATCCCAAAACATCCTCTCTAACTTCTTCCCTACTTGGGAGCTCGCAGAGGTCAACCAGGTTAACCGACTGAGGGATGGTAGGGAAGAGATAAGCATTGGGGGGCACAAGCGAGTCCTTGTCAGAGGTAAAGAAGGATTGGAAGTGCGCCACGGCTGCTCTTGTATCTGGGACTCTTGATTCAGGGATGAACCATTGTCCTCGATATAGTGGATATACGCCCTGACTCACTTCTGTCTCACGAAACCCTGAAGGTATTTGGTATTGCGTTTTCCCTCAGCTATCCAGCTCACGACAACCTTTTGCTTCCAGAAATCCTCCTCCATGAAGAGACGGAACTGGTACTCAGCGTGACACCAACACATTATGGTCTATTCTCCGGAGTGAGATCCAGATCATAAGTTCACTCCGCTTTAGTAAACGCACTCTGAGCTGCAGAAAGTCACAGCTCTTCAAAAACTTCCCAATTCAACTGCTCCAGTCTGCACCACAACCACTCGAGCTTGGCCTCCAGGTTGCACATCTGAAAAAGCCAAGTCGGCTGCTGTCAAGAGGCTTTGACAGTGTCCTGAAAAGTGTAGTGGCTGATCCACATGTTCTGTAACCTAAAAGAAGAGAGGCGATAGGGCATGAGAAGCGACTCAAGATAAGAAGCATAGCATTGTTAAACCTAACGAGAAAGATATGTGACGGTCAGGACCGCAAACACCCTCGTCCATGCCTCAAATACTAAGATGCGCTATGTCCCTCCTTAACACCGCTTTGATCCCAGTTGAATGGGGAACCCTCTCAAACAGCATCAATAAATTCACAGTCAACCACTGCTTGAGCAAAATCCTCCATCTCCATTGAGTTGTCTGTATGGTCCCCCTCGCACTCACTGAAATGCAGGAAAATGTTGAAGACACCTCTGACTATCCCCGGTAATCCTTTCATACTCTCAGCAATCCCACGCAAGGTGTTCTATAGAGCGTAGCGCCTGACCCTCGTACACTTGGCATATACCATATGTCAAAGATACGCTCGGAAGATGAGAAGTAGAGAGCTCGATGTGTAATACCTGCTTGGTGTCGCAGATGACTCAGAAATTGTAGTCACGCGAGTAAAAGAACAAAATTTTGTTAGATATGTTACCCACGCCCGTGTGGAAACCAAGGCGATGTGAGTAGTAGTCAAAAGAATGGCAGAGGGTTATAGGCTCAATAAATGCAAAAAAAAAATGAGCTTATGGTCATGAACAAGATAGAAGATGTGGGTTAGGGTGGCCCTATTCGCCAGACTACGGGCATTCCAAGTTAAGAATGTGACCGACCTATCAACTGTCGGGAATACCACCTAGCTGGGCTCGCCTATGGCTCGGCTGAGTTAGTCCACATCACTGGGTTCGCCTAGGGCTCGGCTGTATCTAGTGCGAGGTCGGCTACGGTCAGGACTATCTCAAATTTGTCCCTTCTTCTCGTCCTCATGCTCTGTAGCGCATCAACAGGTTGGGCCCAGGTAAAAGCGTAGATCCTCTCAGGGGGGAGTTAGGGTAGGAGTGTCAGCCGGTGTGGGTACTCATGTCCTCCGTAGCGGTCTGGGTGTCAGCACTGGATGTGCACACGGAACTGCTCACTCTTTGCAGCAATAGTATGGGCCAATCCAATCTTGTCTTGCGGGTCGGAGGTAGCAGTCCCTCAAGTCCCATCTTAGATGCAACGAGCTCGATAGCGGGAGCCACCTTACGGGGACTAGTGTTGTGCGGGGGGATGGACTTATCACTTACCAAAGTGTCAGGCTGGTTCGTCTCGTCATCTAATAGGTCATCATCGTCAAGATGGTGGCTACTAGAGATGAAGGCTCGGCCTCGACTCGGGAGAGAGAACAACAAAATAAGAATGTTTGGCTTTAAAGGCCTGCTGGATGGCTTGGGGAGGAAAAAAAACCTAAGAACTTGGACCTGTTCGCCAAAACAGCCTTTTCAAGCTGTGCGACGGTCTCTAAAGTGGTTTTACCCTTGTCTGTGGTCCTCTTTGGGGATGCAGGTGACTGGACATGGACCTTTCCCTTTCCCTTAGGAACCCCCGAAGAGGTTGAGGGTTCTGGTATGGTTGCAGGGTAGGGCGGTGGGAGCGCTGAACGAGGCTTGTTGCCATTGGTATAGTAGTCAGCCCCACCGTGATCTACGTGATGACACATGTTGCAGTATGGTAGAACTCTCTCATAGACCACCTTGTGGATGGTGCTCTTCTCTGCCTATAATAGCTCAATCTCATGGACGAGCTCACCGTAGAGGTCAATCTCGACACACACTCGTGCAATGGATTTCCTCGAGCGAATGGCCATTGCTGCATCGACCTCAATAGGATTGTCGATGCAACTGACATTAGAAAAGAGAACATAAGGGTCGTAAAGGTGGGAAAGAAGCCCAGGGAGTCGACACCAGACTGGTGGGAGGGGTGCCTCTGTCGAGGTGGAGAAATCTGGGGTGTAGTTAAACACCCTGGAGTGCACCTGCATACGACAACAGTCATCTTAAGCCACACCATGTTATAGTCCTCCTTCAGCTCGAAGGTGACAAGGAAGTAGATAAAGTTAGAGTATTCAAGAGTTACACTACCATTGAAACCTAGTTCCTTAAACCAATAGATAGATCCCGAAGAAAAGGGATAGTGTGGCAAAACTTATAGATCAAAGTCTTACCATACAACTCAATGAGAAAGAAAACACCGTGATCAGGGAGACTTACCTTTTGCCTTCCCCCCTCAGAGCGTGAAATGGACCCACGAGGGTTGTCTCGAAACCTAGTTAACTCTTTACTTGTCCTCAACCAAATAAAACAACAAGTAGTACGAGAAGAAAGATCGAAAAGCCCAAAACTAATGATCATGCAAAATGAAACTGTCTTCTTCCTCCGGTTATCCACAAAATTAAACTCAAATTTGAAAACACGGACCCCACCGAATGAATTCATACAAAAAAAAAATATTTTCTAATTATTCTACACATGATTTACTCGATTCAAACTCACATTTTCCAAATATACGTGCAAAAAGCAAATAACGGACGGTTAAACAAATAAGAACCGATAATCACGAACCCATAAGGCCAACTTCCATTTTACTTATTGTCTTATTTTTTCAATATTTTTTTACATGAGTCATTTTGTTCA